TAAATCATGGAATAAAAGTCGTTGTTTATGATGTTAATAATATAGCCCTCCGAGATTTATAATAATAACGCTCACACTCAACATAGCCCCGCACTAGGGAAACCCTGTGTCGCGGGTGCCATGGACACACACATAGACAACCACAAATTACACCCAAACTCACGAGAGAAATAAATGTAGGCCATACAAATATTTCTCCCGGCCCGGGAATCGAACCTGGGACCTCTGCGTGGCAGTCCGGCATGGTAACCGTTCAGCCACGGAGGCAGTTAAATTTGCCTGTATACAGGGCGTTTTGTCTTCGAACAAGAAAAAACAAGCAAGACATGTGTTTGCCTGGTTTTCAATATTTTATGTAAAAATCGACAACCAAAAATATCATTTGATCCATGCTCTTGATAGTTATCTTGATATAGTTATATCTAATAGAAATAAATGTAGAAATACATATCTAATCTATCACATAATTTCGATGGTGGATATGTTCAATGGACTTTATGACATTTTTCTCGTCGAATTTCCAAATTTCATAGTGTTGTTTCTTATAAATATTTCAGTTTTTTTTTATTAGAAGAATCATTGTTCATGTGTTATGGATTAAATACGGCTCTCGATAACTACTTTGTCTCTACTGTTGGGTAATTTTCCAAAAAAATTCAAATAGTGGATACTTTTCCAGAATAATTCCCGGAAAATTGGAACAAAATTTGAAAAATTGGAAAACTATCATTTCGAAGCATTGACTTACAAATAAATGGACGACGGGTCTAATACAAGAACCACGAAAAAAATGTCCCCAGTCAAACTATTTAAACGTAGTGACATGTAAAGGAATATGAAAAAGCTAAAACGTTGAATTTAAATTGTAATGTCATCGCAGTACTGTCTAATTTTGCTTGCTTCGCTGTCAGTCGAACAAACGAAGACTAAAGCGTGAATGACGCTCTGTATACGATTTTAACGCCCTATAAGTTCGGACACTTTTTAGCGCGGACCCGACATCCATATAATTGTAAGTCAATGTTTCGAAAGCTCATATTATAAGAGGCTCAATTAAATCTGTGTGAAGAACTAAATTTCTCACAGATGGCGCTACGGCAAAAAAGTCGTTAAAAACCAAAAACAAACATGTGCAACAAGCACATAGAAACATTCGTAAGGTCTACTGGGTCGTTCCGTGACTTAATTGGCAGAGCATCTGGCACAGTTTGCTTGCCTGAGGGTGCTGATTGGAAGCCAGCATGATCGAATGAATTTTTCTTAATGTTTCAATTTTTGTTATAATAATTATAAACCTACAATATTGAAAAATGCTTACTTTGTTGTCAATAAAGCTCCCAACGAAGACTGGAACCACAATACCGGGAATCGTAGCAACAGTGTTTGTTATTGCCATCAAAGATCCTGTAAAAGATCAACTTTATCAAATTAACAAGTACAACATCAACAACCCATTTACATAATTATTACATTCCCACTGCTTAGGTCGGGTCTCCTCTCAGGTGAGGATTTAGACCATAGTCCAATGAGGGTTGGGGACTTCACATTTCCGAGTGTTGTGAACTTCACATTTCCGAGTGTTGTGAACTTTCTACGACGTGCCGGTTTCACCACGATGTTTTCATTTCAAATTCAATTTGGCACATAAATTCCGAAAAGCTCAGACGTGCGTGCGCGGATTCGAAACCACAGCCTCCGCTTGCGAGGCAGTAGGTCTAACCATTAGGTTACCACGGCTAATTATATTATGCATAAGTAAATATAAAATTACAATCGTCAAATAATCTTGAATTTTCTCTCATAGACATCATATTTGACGTCTAGGACAACATTAGCTGCCCTCTGAATTGCTAGGGATAGTCAGTAGATTAAAATGTAGAAAATTTATTAAAACCTGTTTTACCTGCGTAGTTGGGCGCAATGTCGATATGGTTAGATAAAAATCCGCAGAACATGCCTCCGTAGCTGGTGACTGCGATGGCCATGAGGGCTACAGGTGCACCGCGGCTGTCACCGCTGAAGCAGATTGCTAGTAGGCACACAGTAGGTACCACGGATGCTGTTTGGGTAGATCAAGTTTAAAAGTGACACAAATATTAGGAACATGAAGAACAGTTAAGGGCATAAAAGTTACCCTTGAGGAACGCGTGGTCGTATCAATTTAAAGCATCTTATATTTTTTACCTTGGAAAACTATACATATATTACTGCTGGTCATATTATATGTATTGCAGGATTTAAAACACTCGAGTTTCATTTCGCTAGATTAGAATAAGATAGATTCTTTAATGTTAAAGATAATCGAAAGCTTTAATCAATTCTAAAATCAATTTATAGAGAAAATATTAGCAGTCTTACCAATCAAAGTACTAGTTTTCCTGGCGGTAGTTGTGGTAATTATTTCTTTGCCTCGGAGCCAATCTAGAGTTTTGCTCAAAGCCATACTGAAGAACCACAAACAAAGGAATGAAAGAGATGTAGCCACTGCAATCTAATGAAAGAAAAAATATTTCACAACTAACGACCACATTTTATGATTTCGGAGTATAAGTTTAGATAACAAATATACAAAAGAATGTTAATTTTTTATACAACATAAAATAGCAATAATTTATCGAAAAGTAAATGGAAACTTTTTTTTAATATATTTACTGGGTTATCTTTGTGTTGATTATAATTAAAATTTTGTATTTTCTTAGCTCGATTAAAATCGACACTCAATTAAAAAGTATTTAATCAAACTTGAATTTACACAATTACCTCATTCATATTCAAATGAAGCACGTCGTGCATGTACGAAGGAAGCTTGATAAGTAACATATACCATCCCCAATTGGAGCAGGTGTGTGCTACCAAAATAGCCCAGAATGGTTTTGAACGCAGCACTGCATGCCATGGTACAGGTAGTTTCTGTAATGTTAACTTCACATCATTTTGGAATAAAGGTACCTAAATCTTTTTCTGCTATAAATTTAATTAGTACCTACATTTGATTTACTCGCTGGAAGATTGGGCCTCTATTGGTAATTTATTGTATCATTAAATTAATGATAATTTTGAGATACCTACATACAAATACAAAAGTTCTTTATTGTACATCAAAAAAGGAAACAAATACAATACAATTAAATTAAAAATAAGCGGTACTATGGTACAATGGACGGTCTTAAGCGATTTCTGCCAGACAACCTTTGGATGGAAGTAGTTCTATAACTCACAGGAAAAAGGCGGCGGTGTACGAAGAATGACTAATCAATAGATATAAAAACGGTGAATAAATACAAATATACACATATTTATAAATAATAAAACCAATACATATATATGAATATCAAAAACTACTATACATATATTCCTACACCTATAAAAATAGGTAGTGTTCTTTTACCATATTTCTGAAAATATTCAATGATTTTACTTGTTGAATAGACAAAGGTAAAGCGTTCCACAAACGAATAGCCTGAACAGTAAAGGACTTGTGGTCGTAGTACTGGGAGGTATGCAAGGGCATCTTGAGTTGGAGAGTTGAAGATGAGCGCAGAAGTCGGGGGTTGGACTGATGGGCGAATTCAAATCGCTCCTTAAGATAAGGTGGTATGTGAGGAATGAATAAGGTGCCATAAAGAAGATTAAGAATATGAGCATTCCGATAAAGTCTAATGGGTAACCACTTCAGCTTCTTGCGGTAAATGGAAACATGATCAAATTTCCTCAGACCATAAATGAAACGGACGCAAATGTTTTGTAGACATTCGAGCTTATTGAGCTGTTCTTCGGTTAAATCCAGATAGCAGACATCAGCATAATCGAGAATTGGAAGAAGACAAGCGCAATTTTCGTCGCAATAGGCAAGAAATTACGTAACCGTGTAAAAGATGCGGTAGACGCAAACAATTTGGGACTGGTCTCAGCTAATTGGGGTGCTCAAGATAGCTGCGTGTCAATGAGTATACCCAGATTTTTTACATTGCCACTAATTTTAATGTAGGTGTCGTCTATAATAACCCGCCGCAAGCGAAACCAATCTATCTTGGATACCATTCTAGAACTGCCAATAACAATCATTTGCGTTTTCGTTGCGTTAAGTTTGAGACCATATTGTTTACTCCACGTCGAAATGTGACGGAAATCATGATTAATTTCCTGAATGGCTTCGTGCAGGTTTTCAAGTTGCTGGTGAGTGTACATTTGTAAAATCATCTGCATACAAGTGGTAGGATGAGGTAAGACTGTGGGAAATTGAATTATGAAGATCGAGAAGAGAGGAGAAGAGGAGATAAAACGCCGCCCTGAGAAGGGAAGGGAAGTATAGAAATAGGTCGGAAATCGGAAAGGTTGGAAGGGTTAGCTTTCTTGAGGAGAGGAGTGATAAGAGCTTCCTTCCAAAGGGAAGGAAATTCCCCGCTGCTGATAAAAAAGTTAAGAATTTACCGGATCACAGATAGAATCTAATCAAGTACGAGTCATTTCAAGACCAATGTGGTCACTGCCAACAGCATTGGACGAAATAGATTATATACCTTTCTTAATATCACAATCAATAAACTCTTTAAAAAAAAAGGAGGATGGTCGGCAGGCAGTTGGAAGCGAAGAAAGATAATTTAAGGTAGATGTTTTAAATTTTTTGGGAAACAATCTTGACGTGACTTACCAACTCCCAGCAACCTAAGAAACTTCCAGACTTTAGCCGAATTGTCAGTTTCTAAAGAACTATGAATGTGTCGGCATTGTCCGTCCCTACACAACCTATTGTAGTGACGTAACACATCAATAAACAGCTTCCTCATCTTTGCGCAGCTTTCGTTTTATCTCATTAAATTTCATTATCATACTTCGGATGCCAATTTAAAAAGCTTTCACCTTATGTCCACGGTCGTCATTTGTCCCGCCCAATGAGGTGACGATCATGTTTCTCTCTTCGACGCTTATAATCGACTGCTGCTGCGGCGAATCCTGCACCAGAATCACCCACAGGATGCACCAGATGCAAGATAGACCACCCATCACGTAAAAGACACTCTCCCAACCTGCGTATTATTCGAATGTCATTCGATGACAACTTGTATTTTGAGAGTGTGGAAATACGATACAAAGTGTCAACATAACAACGTCGATATATGCTTTTGAGTGAATGAAAGTACGAGCCTTCTGTTTATCGGGTGGAATTGGTAAACTTAGTTTTTTTAAGAAATATTCTCGAATTGCATGCTTCTTACCCAAATTGTCAGTAAGTACTCCGGCCATGAACATAGAAATTACAGTTCCTAATGCAGTTCCAGCGTACACCAAAGTGGACAGCACGCTTCGCTCAGCTGGCGGTGCCCACTTCGACAGCAGAACATGCATCGCTGGGAATGTTACTCCCTGCCCAACATGACCATTAATAAATATGATGCAGACAAAGTATAGCGCTGCTTCTTCAAAATATAATACATATTTGTTTATCGATACATAAGGAGTAAGGGACAAAAGCAACTATTTCGTATCTTCTTAGAAAATTTCATATTAAGAGTGTGCTGTACTTACTCCTCCTATGCCTTCCCCAACACGCATGAATATGACAGCAATATAGTGAGCCTGAGCCATGACAGGGGTGAGCAGAGTACATATTACGTTGATAGTAACACTGAAGAACATCACCCATTTAGCTGATAATATTTCTGCTATGCGGCCACCTACAAAAGAAATTGTATAAGTTTAGAAAAGGCTTATAATACCTTTTCCGAAAACTTCGTCGAAGCGCAGCAAACGAAGCTGTATTAGCATCTACTCAAATTACACAACCTACGAACGGAGTTTTATTTACTACGAAGGAGTTATTTAACGTTCTTCAACCGATATGCATGAAATATTAAACTAGTATAAAAAATACAATTCTTCTTCGCCGACGCCCATATTTTTACTTCCAAAGTCAAAGGTCAACACGTTAAGTGAACGGGGAAAATATTCAATTATAAAATATTGCGCGTGCAAATGTGCAGTACTGCTAAAAAAGGTAAGAAAAATATTCGCACGCGCAAATGTAACGAACTGCGAAAATGAAGATGGGAAAAATTTTGTGCGAGCAAATGTGCAGAACTGCGATAAAATTAATATAAGAAAGACTGCTGCGCCGATCGGTAAGGAATCGACCTAATTCCGCCTAGTATTCAATTTTAACTTATTCGACCGCTGTAGATGCTATTCAATAATTAATAAAATCTCACCAGGCATCTGCGAGACCAAGTAACCCCAGAAGTAGCAACTTAAAATGATGCCTTGAATCTGCGATGACCATTCGAAAGGTCCGTCTGCTACCTGTAAAAAGTATTATAATAGTAGTAATTATTGGGCTTAATATTTGTGTATAAAATTATTTATTTGAACATAGACAACAACAACTGCTCGCTAAATTGGATTTCAAAATTCCCTTGGAGTATCTTTATCCCGGATTCGCTATTACACATTTAGTGCCACCGTTCTGCAAGACCGTTGTGGGCTTTAATTCCTGTGTCTCAAGACTTTGGAGATTATACAGGTGTCCCAAGGTTATGCAACACGGAGGGAAAGTACGTAAATCTCATCTTCAAGTATGAAAATCGAAAGTATAAAACGCACTATAATTAATTTTCTTAAACTTAAATGTAAAATTTCATGGCGTTCCTTTGATTTCAGATACTATGTTACTTAGGAGGAGATAATCCTTATAATTGACCCTAACCATCGGCATCATAAAAACACAGGTTTTCTCGTTTGGTCGGTTCGATTCCCAAGTGAGGCAAGCAACTGAAGCTGACTGAAACTGAAACTGAGAAAATGCTGTATTACCAACTTACTTTTGAAAATAAAACAAAGTATCCATGAAGCAAATAATCCTATATACAATATTTAAAGCACTTCCCTCTGCATAGCCGTAGGATACTCTGTATTAATAGCCATAGTAGGGTTAGCTACATATTTTGACAGTCGTTGTATATATATATAGAAATTTCGTAAATCAATACTATTAAGCCTTAATTATTTCCATTTTAGTTTAATTCTGCCCGAAAACCTTGTTCTCTTGTATTTATTGTTTTTGTTGGTATTACTTTTTATAATTATTATTGTTTTTAAGCTTATCAATATTTTCGTTGTTTTTAGTAACTGTGCTCACTCATAATTAGTCGTGCAATTCGATAAAATAGTCGCCACATTTTAAATAATTTAAATACATAAGGCTTGTAAAGGAGGGAGGTTCTTTCTTCCGTTGGATGAGGTTACCAAAACAAGCCAAGTGAAACTCCAAATTGTTGTTTGTTCAAAAGATTTTTATTTTCACCTTGTAATATCGCCAATACAAGTTCACCCTATATGCGTAAGGTTCCGGCAGTTGTTCGCAGAAGGGACTTGACTCCTGGAAACCGTTCCGCGAGATGAGGTTTTTCATCCTATATGAGCGTGTGAAATGTCAGAAGATCCGGGTAGCAGTTCCCAAGAAGAGACTCAACTCCTAGTTGCCTCTGAGCACTCTGTATTCTCAAATTTCTCTTCACGTTAACAAAATTGTGTTCGAGTAGACACCATTCGAGGGAAAATCTTAACACCGCGATTTAGAAATAAAAGCCAAATGGGTCAATGCCATCTAGCGGATTCTTAGGGAACTAAACGTGAATAATCTGGCTTAAGGCCGTCTATTGCATAAAGTAGGTTGTTCTGTAATTCATAGGTTGTTCTGTAGGTTGTTCCGTTCCGCCGCAACATAAATTGAGCCTGTGCTCAATTTATGTTGCGGCGGAACGGAATGGAAGCGACTTATTGTAATGATATTGTACAATCACGGCGAACTTTATGATCAATTGTGTAACGTACAAACTAGATACGAGCCAAAATCTTGAAATCAAAATTTTAGTAAAGCCAAGATTTTGGCTCGTATCTACTTTGTAAGGTACACATTGGTCGTAAAGTTCATTATGCTATGTACAATATCTTTACAAAAAGTCGCTTCCATTCCGTTCAGCCGCAAACTGCCTCTGTGGTCGAACGGTTACCATGCCAGACTGCCACGCAGAGGTCCTGGGTTGGATTCCAGGGCCGGGAGAAATATTTGCATGGCCTACATTTATTTCTCTCGAGAGTTAGGGTGTAATTTGGCGTCATCTATGTGTGTGTCCATAGCACCCGCGACACAGGGTTTCCCTAGTGCGGGGCTGTGTTGAGTGTGTGCGCGTTGTTATTATTATTATTATTATTATTATATAAATTAAACCTTAATGTTGTATATTGCATGATAACGTAAGTGTATTTAAGACACGGGTAAGTGTCGGGACGAACAAATCATGCGCCTGATGGTAAGCGACACGCCTGTCCATAACAGTTGCATTGCCACTCTGAATCGCAAATATCTGAAGAGCACTGCCACTGCGCCTGTCACCCTGAGACATAAGCTGACAAGTCCCACGTGCCCGTAATTTCATCAGCAGCCATATTAAAATCTTGTCTAATTTGTATTTGTAAGTAGCAGTGGCGAAAAGTCCATGTGACGCGATTCCCATCGGTTTGCCTTAATAACCTTGATATTGCCTAAATTGGTTAGTCGATGTTTTTTGTCATAGTTTCCCAAAGTGTTGTCTACCGCCCAGTGGGTGCTGAAGAGTCCTGGGGCCTCCGAAGCAATTGGGGAGCGTTGGTGCTGTCCAGGGCGCATGCCCTGGAACAACTAACACCAACAGGACAGGACCGCATTTGAACAAAAGAAACCTGAATTATCTATATCAGCTACACTATATATTTTGAGTAGCAGTATAACTCCTTGGGAAATAGTTCGTTCAGGGTAAAACTGCCACGTTACCCATTTCTGTCGTCAAGCAATAATTTTGAAGGGTAAGGATACTGGTGAAATTACAGGCACATGAGACTTGTCAACTAATTATGTCTCAGGGTGGCGGGTGCAGTGGCACTGCCCTTCAGATCTTTGCGATTTAAAGCTCATGACTGGCACTGCAACTGTTATGGACAAGCGTGTAGCTTACTTGTGATTTTTTGTACGTGTTTTCAATTATTTTTGGGATGGTGGGCGTTGAAATTTTTTATCTTGCCTAAGTGGGCGGTGAGCCAAAAACTTTGGGAACCTAAGCTTTGTATGATAATCTTATATCTATGTATATCACCTACATTTTTACTCATAATAAGCATTTACACGTGTAAGAACAATAACGCGTAATAGCAACATCCAATTAGTTTTTGCACATTTTTTTTTAATAATGACGACAGATTGTTATTGCGCTTTAATAATACATCATAGTAAATTAAGAAATGCAACTACATATGTTTTCGTCCCTAAATCGCAAACCCTATAAACACCCTATAATAGGATGGTTTGTCTATATTAGACATGACTGGTTAATAACTTTACCATGTCACTGAGCTGCGAACATGGGATCTGTAAAGAATTTGTTTGAAAAACAAATATACGCGGTTTAGACCAAAAAAAATTGTTTCATTGCCTATGTGTAACAATCGCAAAAACTTAAAAACTCTGTATGACTGTGTAAAGATTGCAGAGTTGGAATTTTTACTTTAATAATGAAATGTGATCTACAGCTTTGTAAATATTCCTAACGCATTCATTTCGTAAAATGTTCATTTAATTTCTTTATTGCATTTACCATAACGTCACACAGATGAAAAAGGCTTATAGCTAAATTAACAGCACATTATGGACCCTGTAGCGCACTGGAAATTATAGATAGAGAGGAGGATTTTCACTTTACAATATTATTTTTCGTTGCTTTTTCTTATGTTTACGTAAGTTCATATTTGTACAATTGCAAATTAAAGAAAGCATAATCTTAATTATGATTGATCAGATCAGAAAATAGAACCTTTAAGTCTTTAAGTATTAATTTTTTTTATTGAATTATTATTATTTTATCTACATATAAACTCTCTATAATGTGTTCAAAAACCGCAAATTACGACCAGCACAACGGTGAACTGTTTTGTTAGAATAAATTTCTATCTTTGAAAATGTTATTATTGCTTCATAACATAAAGGATAGAAAAAACTTCTTAATAACATCGAATCCGATTCAAATTTAGAATATCTCTGAAAAACAAAACAATTTGATTGGATCTCAATTCTAATAATAGTCGAGATGAAGGTTTATTCGAAATGAAATGTCAATAGCAAACAATTTTGACAATTTCACGTTACTTGATATCGAACGATATGATAATTGGGGCCGATTCTAGTTTGTCTATGAATTAAAAATAAAAACTACGGTTGTGGGACATGCATGAGAAAAGTTTTTATTTGCCGCCATTTCGCCAGTCGTAACATGCGGTTCCTGAACACATCACAGAGAGCTTATAATATGTGTATAGATAAAGCAGTGTATGTAACTGTACATATAAGAATTAAAGCACTCGTGAGATGTTTCCTCCACCCTCACTCACATTTTAATTCCTTTTATTATGTAACAGTCACATAAACTACTATAATAAATAAAGTGAAATATAGTTTTGTCATCTATTGAATACAATTTTATTTTATTTCCATGTAATAAACGTAAAGCGTCTGTGCTATTTCCCCATAAAGTGATACCATCATAGTCATTCGCTTGTTGCGTCGGTAATTTTTGTTTTTTTTTTTTATAATACCAAGTTACGGGCCAAACAAGTCGTGCGCCTAGTGGTAGGCGACACGCCTGTCCATAGCAGTTACAGTGCAATGCCACTCAGAGCTTTAAATCGCAAAGATTTCAGGGGCACTACCAGGGCGCCCGTCACCCTTTTTTTTAACGGGGGCTTAAGTTGAAAAGTTCTTTCCTGCATTCTTTTTTCTATTAAATCTAGAGAAGAGCTGTGGCCTAACAAATTCTATGGCATTAGAACAATAACCTATAACTATTAGAGGTTATTGTTCTTCGATTAAACTGGAGCACATAAATTATAATATGACAGCATCAATAATTATTTATTGTCAAAATGTTCCATTGCATTTAATTGAACAATTCGAGATTCATTCGGTTATTGACTTCGTTTACACCAAAACAGATCGGTACAGCTAATAGTGTTTGAACAACACTTAATATGAACTGATTAGAATATTGTACGGTATTATGTTCCGAATTGATAATACTGTTTGTTTACATGATAAGGTTTTTGTACCTATGGGAAATACACATGTAAACAGAAATACACAAGATTTTAATTTTTTGTCAAATATATTTTCATTTCTTGTCTGCAATTGACGGACACTGTGTTATTGATTCATATACTATATTTATTGTTAAAGTTGAGATTTATTCGTTAAAATTAAACTCCGAAATGATTTTTGTTCGTATTTTAACATTCTTTTACCACAATAGTTAAAAAAACTTTGGAATCGTCCCAAGATTCCCTGATTTAATCATTTAGCTTTACGAGTAACCTGCTCAAGGCTAGCTATTCTCTATTCTGAATTTTAACCTCATTTTAGCCACACTGTAGTAAACTAAATAGTTATTCTAAAGTTATTTATAACTGTTTTCTGACTTGATCAACGTACATGTACATTTTCTTTGTTTACAGTTAGCCAAAAAAGTTTTTAAATTGAACGCGCCGCCATAACAATGAAAATATTGACGCACCTAAGACCGTTTCAATTGGCCCGAATTTAAATTACTCTGCTCATGAAATTGATCAGTTTGCATATCATAATCATGCATATAAATGTACAGATTGATTTGTCATGCATCTTTGGTATTTTGCGTTTCTGGATTATTATAAGTTTTTGAACTTATGAAAATGTATTTCATCCAGTGAAAGTACCTCTGTGATAAAGACGAACTTTTGACGGCAATAAAGATAATATAAAAAGACAAGTGTGGTAACTCCACACAAACATAGCAGCGCGGCTTGTATGTGCGCACGCCCACCGCGCAACGTGTACGGACGCACACATTCTCCACGGTCACTCGCGTTGCGTACCGCGAGTCACACACCCCATTAATTACTTATTATAGTGAAAAAAAAAATATATACATATCACAAAGGGAATAACTTTTATCAGTCTGAAAACAATGAAGAATAATCTCAAAGTGACACTCAATTTAATTGTCTGTGAATTATGTATGATTATTTTGATGAATTTTTTTTCATGAATGAAACATTGTTTTTCCTTTTTCACATAGTAAAAAGAATACACCTCATTATTTTTCTTACCTTAGCACGTTCAGGATCAACTGGTAAAGTTTTGTTCACATCGTGGGTATCATTGATGACGGCAGCCATCTTGATAGCGGTATGATTCAACATGCCCACTATAGCTACGGAAAGGTTGACCTTTAATCCGTATATTATGGCCATTCCTATGGATCCTAGAATGCCGAGGATGTAACGGGCTGGAACGCATCCTGTGGGATAAGATTGTCATCGTTACAATGAGACACCTTTATTAACCGACTTCAAAAAGAAGGAGGTTCT